AACTTCTTGTGGATTTCATCTCTGTTCTCCTTATCTTTCTCAGGTTTGATACATTTTTCCCTTTCATAATTTCTTCCCCTTTTCTCGTTCGTATGTCCGTTCAAAAAGTATGTAATATTTCTGTTTTTTTTAATGCATCAGTCCGTCAGTTGCAAAATTCCGGTCACTGAGCGAAAATGATGGGTTTTAGCCGTATGGGTAGCGGCGCCGGAGCAAACTCATCATCGTCTACATCAAATTTATCAGCCCTAGCACCTCCATTCACTGTAGATAGATCAAATCCTAAGCCCAATTCAAACCCTAATTTGCCTTACCACGACTCGCCTTACACTGCCGAACCCTATAGCCACGGTTGGGAATATTCAATCCCTTCTGCCCCAATTGTTTTAGAATCCACTGGAATGCCCAGCGTGCCTTTACCCGATGACCACCGATTTTCAGCTGCCACAACTGTTAGTCCCACTATTACCCATTGGTCCACTTTTAGGCCGGTTGATAAAGCCTCGACAAGCTCATTTGCCTCTTGTGGTGATGTTAAGCCCTATTATTCGCCCTATGTTCCTCGAATGGTTGGAGAAGAAAGCCCATTGGTTGAGGTGGATGTGAGTTGTTACAGTAAAGGGCCCACATCTCAGATTCATTATACTCGGGGTGTGTGGGATGTGGATTATGAGGCTGAATGGGCTGGAAATTTGGGACTTAATGATGGTAAGCGGACTAATAGAGTGGAAATTGAGGGGAGTTTCTTTGATAAATCAAATATTGGAGACTTGCAAAATTATGGACATGAGTTGAATCAAGGTGTGTTTGTTGATTATTTGAAGTATGTTCGCTAGTTATTTTAAGTATGTGATTTTTGATGACGTTACTTATTGAGAACGCTAGATAATTAAACTGCATCATTGGTGTCCATAAGGTGTATGGCAATATATTGAAAAGGTTTATTGGATATCAATTTTGAATTTATCTGAGTTCTTGATAATATCTCTCTATTAGCTTGTGAATTATAATCATGCTTCCTTTTTTTTCTAATGCATACATTGATTGATCATTGATACACTGCCCCTTTGATTATGTGAGCATCTTGTGTCTGTCTGTGTTTCCCATTTAACTTGCTTTGCTTTGATTAGGAGGATTGGGCACTGAAAAGAACGAGAAAGTATCTAAAGAAGGTTCTTATGGTATTTCGAGTCAAATATTCAACCAGGTGCCTGATACAGGTATTCATTGTGGAAATTCAATTGTTGCTCAAACAAAAGATAATTTATGTCACGAGCAGAATCTTGGCTTCTTTCCCTATGATTCAAACAAATCACATACCTCAGCCTACAAATCAACCTACTGTGAGTCTCAGCATTCAGTTCCATCACATGAACTGGCACTGCACAAGAATTTCTTCGACGGTCAGTTCTCATCTACTAAGTGTAGTAACACTGTTGATAAGCCCTTTATTAGCCCTGTGTCATCAAATATGCGTTCCTCTACAACTGTCAGTAGGCTGCCACCTGCTAATAATGGTTACAATAAACACTGCACTTTTGCCCGTGAGTCCATTCCATGCGACAGTGTCGAAAGTGTGCAGAGTGCAAATTTCGGATCAATGTCTAATTCCCAGTTAAAAGAGGGCTCATCTGAAATGAGCCTTTTCGGCATTTCCAATGAAGGGAATTTCCTTTCTCCACCAAAAGAACTTTCGACTCCACTGCAGTCTAGCGGTTCTCTTGATCGTATGTGTAAGACTGGATTTGGGTCTCAATCACATGATGAAAGTATCTATGGTGGGTTTAATGTGGCTGGTGGTAATAGTGTTCAAACAGTAAAGTGTAATGAAAATTCTTTGGATTTTGTTGTGGATTCACCTTGTTGGAAAGGCGCGTCATGTTCTCAATTTTCAACATTCGATATCGAAGCTGGGAATTCGAATAATTTTAAGAAAAATATGGACGGATATTATGGGTCCAATCATGAAGCACAGCAGAAGAATCTCGACTCGGTCATTGATATCGATCGAACGTTTTTCGGGAAAGCTAGTGAAGAAAGCAAAGGTAACATTGGGAAAAATGAATCTGATGCTCGTTGTTCAAGTGAAGATCATAGTTTATTGGGTGATGGAAAATGCAGAGGTTGGGTTGCAAAAGAAAACGAGACACTGAATGAACCCGATATGCCAAGAAAACAATCTGTCCTTGCAAAAGACTTGGCGGGTGAGTTTGATGTGAAAATTCCTGATGCCAAGAACTTCATTGATAAAGTTGCTAAAACGATTTCTCTAAATGATGTCACTGAAGGCGGTTTTGTTGCTGTTCATGCTGCCGAGAAAGTTCTAGCATCGCCTGCTTCTCAAGAAGATGCCAATGAGCAAATTAAAGAAACTGACTGGAAATTGCATGTGCCAACAGTGTTAAAGGCAATGCATAACCTTTCCGAGTTGCTTATGTTTCATCTTGCTGGTGAGTCGTGCTCTCTGGAGAAAGAAAATATAGAGACTCTCGAGAACACAATCAGCAACCTTAATTCCTGTCTGCATAATAAAATCACTGAGGCGTCTGAGAAGCCGAAATTAAACAATCCTGCTGGAAACAATTCTGGCAAACTTTTGGAGTCTGGTAACATGGTATGATTTTTTTTTTTTTTTTTTTTT